TTCCCGTCCCAATGGATAGAGCAAAACCATTCCGGTACATTAACTCGTCTAGACGACTGTATATCATCTTGTTCCGTCCTCAATTTAATTCTACTATCCTCCTTTCCACGTGGTTACAAAGTCATCCGATGGAATTAGTGTATGTATGTTGTATAAAAAGTGATCAACAAAATCATCTATGTGCTTGATTAACTGATGAAAATGTGAATATACCCGAGAGAAGAGATCGGCTTTGAGTAATAAATTGGACCGTGATAGCGCTGAATATCGGATAACAGCTAAGAAAATATTAGCACTACGATCAGCTATCGTATTCATATACCCTTTCTCCGACAATGTGTCGTGCAATCTCAGAACTCGAACGCTGTTAGTGCGACTGGTGTTTCCGTGAGTCATTTGTTTTTCGTCGTGAGCATTTTCGTTAAAGGCGAACTACTTTTGGTGACTAAAGTAAGCACTGAATTCTGAAACCTAAAACAGGAACAACACACTTCTCGAAAAGATTTTCTGTCATGATGATCTGTGCATCTGTACTCAGACAAACACACATCAATAGTGGCTGCATATTTCTCTGCATACATTAGTAATCCACCTGGCTATTCATGGGAATTGACTACATCTCATACTGAAAACCGAGACATCCAAGACCTGTTAGTATGTCGCAAATTATACACACCTTCATAAATCCACTCACGCTTATTCTGAATTTTGAATTGAAATTCATTTCACTCAGCAGAACCAAGTGACTGTCGGTAAAATATACTGACAAACTGATTTCCATTCACTTCGGATATTCGGGTTGTTCATATTCATAGGAACTGATTCACAACGATTTTCCAACTATTGGATATTCATTGAAAATTGTGTGAGACAGAAGACTTTGCTTCACCCTAGTGTGGCATTCTCCTAAAAGCACAGGACACCAGTGGAAATTGAGCAATGATGACTGACGTGATATTCAGCTGATGGATATGTGGTGGTGGCTGGAACGACGAGGTAGGATGAAGTTGAACTTGTGCGTGAGTTTACATTTTCCTTGATGCTAGAAATGACACTAAATGGAACTTTATTGAGGAATTATTTTGATACGGAGTGGCACTAAAAATTGTCCACATGGTTAACATTTCAGATAGTAGACGCGACCGTTTAAGTCTAGGTTAAAATCAACAAACATACCACAAAACTCCATTTTGCAGTTCTATTCACCTTCCACAATTGTATGCTCATAGCGAATTGTGAGAGTGCTTCTGTGAAGATATAGCACACCCATTCTCTCTATACTACGTGATTACACGCCATCGGTTAACATGATTCACACCCGTCCTAATATGTAATCTACTTATATCGTGTATTTAAGTAGTCGATGAAAATTCGGAAAACTATACGTCACATACAGAGAGACAGAAAGAGAATATTTACTACTTCATGATGAATAATGAATTGTCCAGTCAAGATATAATACTAAATATAAGGTCAAGACGGCTTAGGACGTATATGATTTCATTGTGAACAAAGAAGATTTCACTGAGGACAGCGATGTTGAAGTATCACAGCCAAAGTCAAGGTCTCTCAAAATTTCACCTCCAGGAACCGATTAGATAAAGGGAATACTATGAAATGTCCATCCAAATCAAGTCATTTCTCCGTGTTTGAACTTGGATAGCGTAGATACAGTGTTTTACTTGTATACTAGGTAGTTTTTCTGCAAATCTATACTGTATGTTGAGTAGGTTTATGGCTCTTAAGATAAAGGTTTACGAACTAGGGTTAATGTATAGTTTAGTATTAACGTTGGGGTTAGGATGATTCTTAGAGTGGGAATAGGTTCACAATTAGAGTCAGAAATATCAATGAGTCTCAGAGTAGCATTATCTACAGTCACCTGGATGAATGGATGTATCACGCATGCTAGTATTAATCTATAGATCTTGAAATATATTTTTAGCAAACGAAATTTACAGTATTGAGCATGTATTAAAAGCAATTATCATAACATTTGTGAAATTGTGTTTGCCCAGTTCAAGTACTCCTGCATACTGATTGACGTTATCTCAGGAAGAAAAGTTAAAATCTAAATTTTGCACATATTGGCTCCCATACCAGAAGAAACAGAATACTGTCGAGCAGATTACATCCAAATCTGAACTTCTCTAGAAGAGCTGTTCCCGTGTAACATGTCACACAAGTTTGTTAGCTTTGACTTCTTTTCACAATTATCAGGAAATGCATTTTCAGATGTTGGTGACAGTCTATTTCTTACTTCATTCATTCTATCTGAATAAGACTGGTAGAATAAAGATTATGAGTTACGGTTAAATACGTCATCTACATGTTGTCTATGAGGTGATATACTTTTAGTTAAATCTTGCGATAAATTACCCATGTACGATATACAGATATCTGATAAATATAACTTATTTGAACCGACTCCAGATTTTTAAAGACAGCAAATTCAGAGGAAAGGAATATTCACCTTCTATTAGTTCTCCTTTAAACTGCTCCACACTAATAACTATGAATTCACATCAAAATTACACTAATTATGTAGTTGTGTTAGTTAATAAAAACGATCAATTGAAGGACACAAAACAAGTAAAAGCAACCAATTACAAAAATGAACATGGCTCATTCGGTCCTAAGATATTATGCCAAGACGCATTATTTGAGGCAAATTTTGTATTTCCAATATTCGTTCTTTATTTTTCAGGCTTAGGAATTCAGTGCGTTGCATGACGTTGATACATACTACTGAAATAGTGGTGACAGTTCACGTTCTAAACTTTTAGCAAGAATAATCATTGTACTCTAAATCTGGTCTTCTATTCCTGTTTTATATGATCTTCAGATGGATAATTCCCATTAATTCTTGGTTGATCAGCTTGATATAGATATTAGATAGATGCTAATTTCTTTAGATACATATTCATGTAGAGTCTCACAATTTATGAAAGATGATTCACATAATAAATAAGTGCACCAGTCTTCACTGATAAGTATTTCTTTGAAGAATGCATTCGTCTCGGGGTGTATCAGATGGGAAGATTTCAAATGGATGAATCGTGGGTGTATCTTGTTTATCATCGGTTCTGAGTGTTTCAGAATATATCCAGTGAATTTCGTTTAGTGTATTTATTGTTACATTGGTGCCGTACTGTAACTTAAATTAGCCTACTGAATGTGGATAGTCAGTATGATGAGACTGCCTATAGTTGAGCAAAAAAGAAGCATGTGAGTGTGATTGTTTCTGAATTTGGACCTTACAGGAAGTGCTTAGAGGTGTTCTTTTTAAGACTGATGTACGAATCATAATCAACAATTGGTAATATGAGTAGAGTGTTATTCACCTGTACATCTCATTTTCTTCGTCGAAAAGTTCCACCTATAAAATAATATGAGCAGCCTGTTTAGGATACTCTATTATAACAGACTTTTTTTACCAGCAAACATTCATCTGGAGAGAAGGATGTGAGACTGAACAATAAATAGACAGTTAATCCCTTGGTGAAGTGAATTCAATTTCAAAACACAGGAAACACCCTTGAGACATTCTTTATATAATTATTATTTAGAAACTATCCTAAGATGCGTATGAGCATAGGTAAATTTTCGAAGATGTGATTACATATTGGATTATTTCTTTTTAAACAACTAATTAGCTCAATGTCTGTAGATAGAAATGCATAGATCGTTCCGTATTACATTCATTATCTATACGTCAGATATTATTAAGTTGAAATTGTGTTATTTCGTCGGGTTATGACTATAATTAAATCAGAAATTTGAATGGTGTCTGCAATGATGAAACGTGACGCAAGAAGTTAATCTGTACATCCCAGTGTAAAGCTGTGTACGAATGCCACTCACGACGGCAACATGTAGCGCTTTACAAAATGATAATGGTTAGAATGAGACATAGGAAAATACTCGGTATAGTTAGAGTGGGAAATAATAAGTCTATCCAATTTGCTGTCCAAGATATGACAATTGTTTATACAAGCAACAAACATGTTCATTTCTGCTTTGGCAACTCATCTACGCCTGTACTAATATATGCAGTCATACTTTAAAAAAATACAAAAATCATGTTGTTATGTCGGTGAGATTACTGGAGTTGAAAATAAATACAGAATTCTAGACGACTCAGTTTACAGAAGTTAGCACCAACTTACTATGCAGTTGAGCAATCAGGATATTATGAATTCGTTGTTCAGTATTTCGTGAATTTTTCAATTTACTACAATCTACGCAGATTGATGCCTTTCTATGGAAATTTTACTTAATCACTTTCAGATATCGCGTAGAATCGATCACATACCATGTTATATTACAATTTGTCACAAGATGTTCACGGTGTGGAGATCAAACTGTTGACTGTATTATTTGATGTGAACCCAGGTACTCAATAAATGCACTGACGACTATCACGCAAACAATCACCCTATACACTTTAGTTAACATCAATAAATTTTCTTTCTTGACTTATTTCGTATTTTTATGAATTCACCACGTTTAATCTTATAAAACCACATAGTTCAAAGTGAAATATTTTCAGTTGTGATAAAAAAATCCTAAATGAATGTTGAAATAACTACTTCATTATACTCATGAGAAAAATTCATTTAATTTGAAGTGGAGCCTTTAGCAACAATTATTAGACGTCGTACAAAGTTTACTTAACATCAATTATTTTTTATTCTTGACTTACTTCAACTTGCTATGAATTAACCACTTTTTATCGAATAACACGACAGGGTTCAAAGTAAAACATTTTCCGTTGTGTTAAAAAGTCTCAAATGAATGCTGGATTGACAACTTCATTATTCTCACCAATAAGAATAATTAAATTTCAACTGAAGCCTTTGATACCAACTATTGAACGCCTCACAACGAATCCAAAAAAACTAAGAGTCAAAGTATGAATAATGAGATAGATATATTCACACATTTGCTGAGCATCTTTTTCTGGTGAATACTGTAACGTCTGGTGTGAGACGGCTTTTCTCTCTGAGGTAATCTGTTCAATATGTGACATATTTCGTAACTATCATTTACTTGTCATAATGCAGAATCTCAAAAGTTACACTCTTCGTGGGATTTCATGGCTTCCAGTTTCATGACTACAGTGTGTAACTTCAGGTCTTCAAGTTTTATGACTCCATAGTTTATGAGGATTATTACTTGATATCAATAGTGGACAGTCGTCCTAATATAAGAGAATTATATCAGAATCTTCCTCTCCATTGTCTCTCTCTCTCTATATATATATATATATATATATTTATTGGTAGCTATCTCAGGCCGGATTACCTGAATGTCACATATTTACACAGTATTTCTTCCTTAATATAGACTGTAACATCTGTGATTCGTGGAATAAGGAATCCCCAAATAAGTATCATATCTTACATATGTAGACGATCTCCATGCATCGAAATTTCTTGTTAAAAGGCAACACAAGGACCTAGTGTTTTTGTTACAAATTAATGTTTCGCAAGCTTGTAACCACCGAACTTACAACGTCGTCACAAATTTCAAGTTTGTTTTTCAAATACATCAGTGAATACTATGACAATTATGACAAATTCAAAGAATGTTTTATTATTCAGGTTGCTAAAAGTTCTAGTATGCATTGGCACGGTTATGCTTTCTCCGGGTGCCTGTAAGTCTGGCTTTTCGCAATCTTTCGTGAAAGCACTATTACTAATGTATGACTGCAAGTGCATTTATGTTCAGTAATAATTATTATCCCCAGAGAACCAGTCAGTTGAATTGTCAAAGGCTACAGCTATGGACTTATGCCAAATACTGACACTAAATGATACATTGAATTCTCGTCAGTATTCTTTTTGCTTATCTATGACATCGTACAGGTTCATAGTTCATCAAACCTCATTAGGCACATATAATTTCACCGATTGGTGGATTACCTAAAATCATGAAGATGAATTATACCTGGTATGAAGGTATTCGAGGTGGTTATGTTCTTGACGTCTGATGGTCAAAAAGCAGTTTATCTCAAAAGCATATTCAACCGTAAATTCCTGGGTCAAATCAGAATTTGCGATTCTGCATTCTAGTGTTCTGAGTACAAAAAATATTGTATTCCCATTATGAAATCGAGGATATAGACACAAAGCTGAGGATAGGGGGAGAAATCATGGGAATCCGATGTTCAGGAGACATATAAAAGACTTAGTATCTTAATACGTATGGACTGGCGAAATGATTAAGTTAAATTGAAATTTATTCAATCGATTCTTAATGAAATGGAACGAATCTGACTTTCGTGAGACAGGAATATTGAAACATTGGACATTATTGCTTAATTGGATTCGCCTCATCACAAACAACGTATCGGATAATTAAGCTGATGACCATAAAATTATTCATATAATTTAGTGAATGAGGGTTTGCTTCGATTATATCCACGGCAGCTCAACACATGTCGAAACTCCTCTTCCCATTAAACGTGAAAGAATTCGATGAATAAGAATTCAGTCTAGTAACGAGTAATGGATATGAAGATATGGACGACCAACAGAATAATGATATACTTTCTGCATGTGGTAACAAAATATGATATACAATCACATGTCATCAAAGATTCGATTGATTTTACATTATTAACTCTGTCTCAGATTCCAGAATTCATTAGAGCTGTTTTCTACTTGTATTGTAGAGTACTGATTGTCCTGCTTTGCTTATTGCTATTCTTCAAATTCAGAAATAATTTGCCAGTGGCTTTGATTCTGATAGGAATAATAGTAAGTTTCTGAAAAAATTAACATTATGAATTGACTTCATGTACTAACGATGATGTCATATTTGATGTGTTATTCACTCGAATAAAGGTCGACTATTTTTGACGAAACAATAAGAAGACACAGAATTAATTAGGGTCAGAATGGTTACTGGTTTAGGTTGCAGACGATGCGTAGATAAGTGAGGAAAGAATAAAAGGAAGGTTGAAAAGATTACTGTGAGAGATGAACCAAGGTTCTAAAACCGAATTACGAAGACAGGTTAAGAGAAATTGGAAATGATCTCTTATCAGGTAAAATATGTTTAAGCCAATTTCTTGCTGAGGATTCATTGAATTATATTTATGTTTTATATTTTTGATTACAGCTTGATTCCACACTGTATTTTTGGTACAAGTATGGAATTTTCAGCATGGATTTCGGTAGCCCAAATTTTGCGGGCCGACCAGAGATATCAGGTGTGCTTCGTCGGCAGGGGATCGAACCTCGGACCATGTGCATGGTCGGCGAGTGTTCTAACCACTTATTAAACCTATTTAACAGTTGAGTTTGAAAAGATTACTAGGAAGAAATTTTTGACTTGTCTCAATGATGCGCTGACCGATGGGTAGATGACGTTGAAAATATATTTACAGTACCAGGTGAATTTATGTCTTCTCCCATCCATACGGAACTATGTTCTTTTGACCTGACCAGTAGAAAAAGATGAGTCCTCCATATATATATATATATATATATATATATATATATATATATGGCTATGAATGCCTATATAAAGATAAATAAAGTCAGATACATCACCACAGTCACAGGATCTACTGGAAAACAAAAATGTCGTCACTCACACAAAACGACAAACAGAAGAACAACAATACACGTTGCATATCTATCATAAAGATGAATAAAGGGTTTTTGGTGCCAGCCAGAGATAATTAGAGCAAAGTATAGACGCACTTTCTATTATACCAATGTTATGAAAAATATTATAATATTCGCATTCACTTATCTAAATGGTTTGTTTTATTTCGCCGACAGATTGTACTATGGTCTACCAATATCGTGGCTATATGTTGCGATTTTGAAAAAAAATACTGGTGCATCCTGTTAGTCTTCATCATTCTGGAAGACTTGATAACAATCATCTTCTGCATCATTATCAAAAGATTCAAACAACAAGTGATGCTATTCCTGCTGTCCTTATCGGCACTGTTTTTGATAACCGGCTTAATCCTGTTTTTCGTAGGGAGGAGTATGGTAAGTGAATTGCAATGTCATATAGACTGTTGTATTTTGACATTTATTCCTCCAGTTACAAGAATTGTTTTCATTGTGACTGTCAATCCCATTTAATTTGAACCTTCTTATAATCTCTGTATTCTTGAGATCAGCCATTCAAACACTTACAAGGAAGAAGACTGCAAGTAGAACTGATTGTCCAGTACTCCAGTAAACGTACTGTATTCACCTATCTGTGAAATGGGTATTCCATTTATTTTATGTGTAGTTCTCTTACGATGTGAAAAAATTCTATTGCATAATCGAGAGAAATGTGAGGCTAAAATTTCAATGGGAAGGAGCATTGCGATACGCGTTATTTTATTCACTGCATACTTGTTAAGGTGTGGAGAGAATTAATTCCTGTAAATAATCATTTCGTAGTTCCTTTCGCTTTGAACACATTCAATTTCATCACCAAATTACTGAGATTTATTGATTAATTTTATTTTTATTTTCTTTGACTCCTGGAAACATTTCAGCCCGTTTTGATTGCATTAGGCGGTTTCCTGAGGAACGCTGCTCTAGCTCTGGTGAGTTTACACATTTTTTGCAACTTTTATGAAAAGAATTATTCAATGCCTGATTTCGGCTGAACATTCATTTGAATATATATCAAGAGTATATAAGAGACTTCATAATGTGGGTGAAGTTACCACAGACGTCACAATCAGATTTCATATAGATGTCACTGATGACTTTGTTCACATATTTCAATGACGAAATGTTCTCCATTCAGCGAATCGATAAACTGGCATTACTGTAATTGAAACTCTGTACATTCATGTTGTGATATTTGGTATTTCGTTTATTTCATGTGGCTGTGATTTTCGCCAGCTTCCTCAAATAACCCTGATATCACATAGTTCAGCTGCCTCCTGACGGGCAATTTTTAGTGAAATTCACGATTTGGTACAAAAGTATTCATTATGTTCTGCATGGAGAAATGTTAAGTCATATTTTCAAATATTTAAAATAAATCGTTGATTGCGCATTCGGACTTTCACTTTTATTTGTGTGAAACAATTTCTTCAGAATGAAATGGTTAGGTGTTTTCATGAGTTTGGTGATTCTCTCATTGATGGAATCAGGGTACATTTTGATCTCTTTCCTTAGTATGTATCTATCCATTCTGAGAAAGAAAACGTATCATGCAAATATGGTCGAGGTCGAAATGTAGTGATGTCAAATTTAGGTAAAAATCTCAACATATTGAGGTGATGTTGATTAAGTTTTCAAAGCATATTTTCAGAAGTACTAAAACAGAAATATGAATGAGAAAAAATCAAAACGAAATGGAAACACAAAGCAAAATCTGGTAACATGAATGGATTCACGTACAGCCAATTAAATAAAACTATTTGGTGATTATTTAGTACTCATCATGTCAAGTTGTAGAGTAGTGTGGTAGAGGTGAGGCACTATCGCTTCATTTTGCATACTCCCCTGTGAAGGATGCTAATTTCAAGTTTAACTTTGTGTAATTACAAACCATACTGATGTGGACAACAATCTCGTTTATTTAATTCAAATATTTTACTCTTAGACTTTGCACCTTCTCGCCAATAGACGAATGAATTGTTGAATTCATGTTTAGAATCAGAAGTCATAAAACAGAACTAACATTTAACGACAAACAAACTGATTAATTTTAGAGTAATTAGTTGAAAATCGTTCAAAGTGTCAAACTTCACGATGATATGATTAAAATAGTCGAGAGTGATAATGTACACAAAACTAAAGCTATAAATTTTATTATACACACCCAAAAAAAAAATACAATAAAAATATTTTATACATTTATTGTCATAAGTGCGCTACAAAGTCCTTTAATTCATGTTAAAGAAAATGCAATACAATATAAAATCTACTGGTCAAAAGTGATTTCTGAAATATTAATTATTTCACGGACTATAAACATTTGATCATGAGGTGGTTGTACATTCGTGTATTTATTATAAATGTGTGGGTAAGTTCCAGGATAATTTCCAGTGAAGGATGAAGTTAATAAAATTAGAATAAAGAATTAAAATGCTATAATAAACATGGAGGGCGGATAAAACTCAAACAAAGTAGTAGCGTCATGACTACTGAGAAGATTGACATGTTGTGCAATTGACGGTTAGAAATGTAGAAACAACAAAAATAGACAGGATGGTTTGATAAAAAAATTTAGTTGGATCATAAGTAACATGACGATTAATTGTTTATGCAAGGGAAGAGTAAATGTGTAGAAATAATAAAGTGACAAAATAGACAGGAAGTTAGGATAGGAAAATCTGGTAGTGCAAGCAGAAATCAATAAAAACTTAAAAATACTATGAAAAAACAGGAGGTCTGGATAATAAAGGAAATTGAATAGTCACTATTAAAAGTATAACCTGTTTATGATGGCTATGGCAGGCACAAGGTTTAGGAGTGTTTCCTTTGAATAGATGGTGTGGGTTTGAGCGTTTGGATGGCTAGTGTCTCGGCTAAGTCAAGATGTCTCGATTTTACTCCCGTTTGATAGTTTCAAACGACTCTTGTGTATGATTTTGAAGGATATTTCTAAAGATGCTGAATGATTTGAGTTGACCAGATGTTTTGTCACTGAACAGTATACACATTTTCTTTCTCCTGGTACCAATACCACATGAAAGTGCAGAGCATTTCAAATCAAATATTTTAAATTCTTGTCTCGACTACATCAACAAAAACGTAGTCTTCTTGATACGCTCTCAAAAGGATACCGGAAGCAACTCAAAGAATTGAATTCAAATAAAAACCTGATAATAACTCGGCAAGACAAAGGTTGTTGAATTGTTCTGCTCATCAAATCAGACTTTGTGAAGAAACTCTCGCTAAATCTATCAGTTATTAAAACAGAACTATATGAACAACTTCACTCACCTGGTTCTACATTACCACGAATGTACGGAATACTCAAATTGAACAAAATAACGTCCTAATCAGCCCAATATCAGATTTGGTTCTTTCGCCAAATCAAGCGATCGTGAAGTGGCTGGTAGACAGTCCTAGACCAGTGCAAGAAAACCTATCGAGGTAAAATCTTCGATACTCATTCGAATCAAATTTCAAAGCTTCATGTCTCTAAGTAGAAAGAGGAACCTGATATAAGCTCTCTCCTCGATGATTTGGAAGATATGCAATGAGGAAGTGATTGACGAAGAACTGCGTAATCTTCAAGTAACCTTGATGGAAAATGGTTTTTCGACTAGGTTCACAGACAAAAATCTGAAATCAAAGAAAAATTCCAGACAAGTTCAGTCGGACCCGAAGAAGATACTTCTGCTTAAACTAGAATTCATGACAAGTTATCCACAGAGTGGAAATCAAACTGTTGAAAATAGAATGTTATGTTAATCTAGTAGGAGAGAAACGCATTGACGATTTCTAACACACTTCTCCTATAGGTTTCCATAATAAACCGAGATGATGATTACTCCAGACAGTACAGATAAATTTTTCTGCACATACACGAAAGTGATATGCTTTTATTTTCCACTAAGAACAAATCGTCATGAGAATAGCCAAACTTCTATCTAAATAAAAGAACTGTAATAATTATTCACAGAGGTCGTTAATTACGACAGAAATGGAATTGTTTTCGCAAATCATCCACTGTCCATTTAGAATAAATAAAACTAACTCCAATTGAGAAACTCTTAGAGGCGCTTAATTCCAGAATGTGCTAGCTGTTGCACAGATCACTTCTCTATGTCGCCTTTCTTGTTAAGTGTGTAAAGTCTAAGTTTTAAAGAAGTGAAATAATAGCGAAGGTGCATTGACAAAGAAAGCACGAAACGTAGGCGAAATAAGCAGATTACTGATGCTCTGTGCAAATCTGAATTTTAATATGATATTTTCATACTTTGCAATTTTTGCATTCGTTTTTCACTTAATGAACAGTTATACTTCCAGGCATCCCTGTGTTCCTCTTGAACGTTATACATACTAAAATTCTGTCTGTTAGAATATAGTCAGTAATCACTAGGAAGAGTACCAAGCAAAACCACAGGAGGAATAGTTCCTGTGATGAGTGATATGTTACTAACTAGGAAACCGGAAATTCTGAAAGCAACCCATACTGTGACAACCAGGAATGTTGTTCGTCTGGAGGGAAACAATTCTAGTACGCCCATTACAACACCCACTTTACATATTTTGCATCTAATGATATGTTGTGCTACAGCTATACATGTCGACAAAATTCATGTTGAGAGTCCACCCTCTCAGTGACACTGTTAAAGTGGGCAACCCGAAAGATCCTCATAGAATATATAATGTATAAAGATTCGATTTGAAAACGAGACCACGAGATTTTCCGTGATCGGGTTCACAATCATAGATGAGCAAAGTTTCAATAGTTTAAATCTATCCCAGATTGAAATCAAATGCCCGAAAAACAATCCAAACATTTAGATAATTTAAATGTCTTATGAGTGTTGTGCGGGAACGACTCATTTTGCTATTCCGCAAGGGTTCCCGAGGGAGGTGTAAGCACCTCTTTGAAGGTGTAGCAATCAAGTGATCAAATTGCTGATTGTATTTTGAAACAACCTTCACACTGAGGGCTGTAAATTTCTGAGATTTTTAAGAAAGTTTGTAGACTACACACAAAACTTGATCCTCATAGATGTTACTATTGATTTCACTCAAAATCTGATGATGATTATTTAACGTTTTTAATAAATTTGATTCTGTTCTAATCTCTCCTAAATGTTACCTTACTCAACACTTTCTGCCTAAACACTTTCGTATGACGATTGATTGCTTTTGTACAATTAATCGCTGCAAATACTAATTGCATCAGTATTTTACGGTCGATAGAATCTAATATCGGATAGAATTCGTCTGAATAAAGCGATTTGAATTATCAATGTTGACGAAGCGATTATACAAAATAAAAAAATTGATCATAACATGACAAGATTATATGGAAGAAGAATGTTGGAAGTTATGAACAATCTCTTTAATGCCTGCAGACTACACATGTGACGCATATTCCGTTGATCTGTATGACTGGTATGTCTTAAGCCATTAGTAAAGAAACTATTTCAGTGTAAGTTGTATGCCTACCTTTTGAAGACACACTTGTGAAGATGTAAGCCCAAGGATTGTATTCTATGGATAAAACTTTGATTTACTGCATGCTGCAATGCTACAAGTGTTTCAAATAAACCAAGTTTATTTTGTATAATCAATCACCAAAGCGGTCTATGCTTCACCATTAATGCAGTATATCGTTTAAACCTCAGATTTTGAGGGATTTGTCGATGTCTTCAAGTGTACGGCTACTGTGCATCAGTTAGTACACAACGAATAGCTGCATCGAGGTCGACCCACTGTCGGAAAATCACAGCAACAATGACAGATAATGAGTAAATGAATTTGAATTAAGTCTATTCAACAAAGAGTGATCTGCAAATAAATTATGTATAACAGACACATTTTGAATAATATAAGAGGATATTTATCATAGATCAAGTAGAATAATAATAATACATTAACCGAAATAAACTTCAATATGAAACAGCAACACCTATGACTTTACACTAACAAAATATGAACTCATCCTACTCATCAATGGTGAGTAGTACGAAGTTGAATAGAAAAGAGTTACAAATTACGACTCGTTTATTATTATTATTATTATATCCTTCAATTTCCGAAGGAACATAGGGCTTCACCCTCACGCCTCCATTGCCTTCTGTTTTCTGCCAACTTTTTCACTCCGCTCCAAGTCTGCCCACTCGCTTGCATCTCCTCTTCACATAACCTCCTCCTCCAAGTCACCCGTGCACTGACGACCAACTCGCCACTTCCCTTTCGGGTTCCACTTGAGCGATGGCTTGTCAAGTGATGTCACTCACTTGATGGTTTCTTTAGAGTATGGTCAGCCAATC